CGACAGCGTAAACGCGGCTCAGCGGATGGGTCATCATTGAACTTCAGAGGTGCCTGAAGGTATCGCTCGAAGAACTTCTTCCACCTATCCGAGACGCCAAGGAAGTCTAGGACCGTATAAATGGTCTGATGTGGCAGTAGTGGATTCCACGAGTCAAAAGTCGTAGAGAAGCAAGTCAGTTCCCCGTGCAGTCTTGTGTTCAGAACAATCTCGGTGGACAAAAGATGAAGTAGGCCTTGCTTTGCTTCCATGGGTTTCTTGGATCGGCGTCGGTAGTCTTCATCGTCGCGGTCGTACGAGTCCCTGTCGTCCTCTATTCCCTCGTCGACCTCGGCGCTCGCGTAACCCCCGCCAGCACGTTGGTTGGGTGCAGCAGCCCCGAACAAGCCGGCACCTTGAGAAGCTATTCTTGCTGTCTGCTTCGTACGTCCCCCACTTGGTTGCTGTACCGATTGCTGCCGAGCTGGTAACGACATAGACTGAACTCGCATTCGAGCCCCATCCGGCTGTCCGTTATTCCGGCGCTTCTTGGCTACGTAGTCTCCATACTCTGCCTCCTCTTCGCCATCTACGGCCTCGAGTCGCTGCGTGGGGTAGTCCAGCAATTGGTGGGCGAGATACCGATTGTGGTGCATACTCATCCGCTTCTTCTCAACACTGGACTGGGTACTCGCACCCTTATCACCCAGGAAGTACGATCGGCGCAAACGGTCATCTTTCGGAACCTCTGTGTAGTTTCTCGGCCAAGCTTGATGCTTGTGCATATCCAAGAATGCGGACTTGAAGAAGACGGACCTAGAAGTTCTGCAGTCAGAACTTGCGGGTTCATGTCTTGCGATGAAATCAACTTACCATTTCACACCGACGTAATGGAGGAAGATTGCCTGAAGAAGGTCCGGATCGAAATGGATAGAGAAGTCGCCATTGATCTTCCTTCGCTGCTCTAGTAGAACATACGGTCCCCAAGACCAGCGATCGAGAGATGCCATGCGCACGTTGAGAATGTCGCACAGTTCCGCGAGTATCACATCTACGGTACTGTTAGCTACTGGCTACTTTCACACAATACGGGTACTTACCATTATCGAGAAAGTCTCTGAGCGCTTCTCGCTTCTCGTTCGAAAGCAGATCAGAATTCAGAAGACCTTCAATGGTCGAGCGAAGGCTGTGGGGGTCGAACGGTGTCGAATAGTTCAGATTAGCCTCGAAGTTCTCCACTGTCTTGCGAAGCTCGCGAATGGCAGCGGAGCTGTCTTTCTTGTTCGCCTGGAACAACTCATCAAGATACGACCTCAGTGCTTGCTCGTCTACTTCGGCCGCTTGGAAGACGTCTTTCTCCCATGCGGCGCGGGACGCCAGCTTTTTGGCACCAGGCACTTCTTCGAAGCTCTCACCCATTTCGACATCGCCATCGTCTGTTGCAGACTTTTCAGAAGAAAGCCATTCAGTGACGAGCTTGCCGTAGAGGTCGGCGTACTGGTACTTGGTCGACTGAACGGAAAGATACCGCAACAGTGTCTTTTCCCAGTCTGAGAGGACTTTGTTCGAAACAGAAGGATCAAAGCGGGCCTGTTCAACGAAGCGATCGAGATTCTTGAGATCAGTCTCGAGACGAAGGTTCCTGGATGTTCCGCTGATAACTCGACCGACTCGCCCATCTTTGGTTTTCTTCTCCGTCTGGAAGCCCAAACAAGTTTTCGAGCCATCGAGAAGAAGACATACGCGCTTCAGTGGGTCTGCTTCGGCTTTCGCGTCTGTGATGAGTGCAGCATACTCTTCTTCAAATACTGCGCGCTGCTTCGCAAGCTCTTCGAGCTTGGTGGTCGTGATGGTCTTGAGCGTCGCCCCGAACACACTACCGGACGATGTCGCCATGGCTGAGTCTCAGAAGACTATGTCAGATGGATAAGCTGGATGAGTGGTAGTACGTTCGAGGATTGATGAGGAAAGGGCGTGTGACGATAGGCTTTGGTGGTGGTCGCTAGGAGTGGTAAAAGAAAACCACTGAGAAGGTGATTCTGCTCACTCGATAAGAGGGGGACTTGTTCGACTATATAGTGATGGAATTGCACTGCCGCATACTGAGTGCAATTCTGGCCAGTGGTAGGCAGTGAGGCAGGCAACAGGCAGCAAGCGCTTGGCAGAGCCGTGCCCCAATTGAGTCCGTAATGCGGGGAACGCCTCGAACTATGCATCCTGCCAAGCCTTGAAGTGACACTGATGTCACTGTACACTGAAAGCTCAATGTCGGATCTGCTGAAGGGGATTTCGTAGAAAGAGAAGATGGATTGAATCCTTGGGATTAGCTGGGAAGGGACAATCATGTTTACCTGCCTATCGATAAGCGCACAGACCATATATTGCCTCCATCGCATCCTCGACAGTCCACCGTGCCACTCAACCCCTCATCCAACATACTTATCCCAACTTATCAGGCGGCCGACCTCTCATACATTGCCCTTTGAAACAATTCATGCAGCTTCAATATGCGCGGGCTCATCGGCGGGATGACCTGGCAGAACGCCACACCGCAGACCCCAGCTTCGAAGTCGAGATACCAGGTCAAACTAGGAACGCCGCCCCAGCAGACTGTCCCAGCATTCATACGTCCTTCCTGGCCTTGCTCGGCTATCATTCCAGCGAACGACCATTGCTTCTCGACATCTGCAGGCAACCCCATACCTAGGAGCTGCGTGTGTAGAGGTGAAGACTTGAGGTAGTCGTTCAGCTCCTTCTTGCATCTCTTATCGAGCTGCGGTTTGAAAAGCTCGTCCCAAGAGTCGTTGTTCAAAAGCCTCGAGTCGCGCTTCAATACGGATTCAAGAAAGGTAAAGTAAGCTTCTGCGCTCGCGAAAGCACCAACACCTCCCAGGCAGTCTGTGGCATCGACGAAGACGTCGAACCCACCGACATCTGTTGCTGGCCCCTCACCCTGCTCATTCAGCGTGCTGATGTTTGCCATGCGATCTTTCATATCGGATCTCTCCTTTGGGAAAAAGCTGATGTCGTCTATGCCGAGAGGATCCCAGATCTTCTCCTTCATGACGGCATCGAGTCTGTTCCCCGACACTTTCTCGATGACCTTGCCTGCCCAGTCCGATCCCGGGCCGTATTTGAAACTGGTGCCTGGTTCGTAGAGAAGCGGCAGGGTATGTTTTTCCTCAACAGTCGGCCCACAAGACGGGGTCTCTCCGCGGCTTGCACGCCACTTCGTCAAATCAGGGTTGAGCCAGTCATACTCGTGGCCATTCGTGTGACTCAGAAGCATCCTGTTCCGGTCAGTTTCCCATCAGCTAGTGCATTAGTACAACGCTTGCCTCAGGGTGATCGGCGTGGTGTTAGGCACAGTGACCGCCTCATTCGTCTTTTCGTCGAAGCTCGTCATAATGCCGTACTTTCCAATACTAGGCAAGTATCTGACCACGTCTTCATCAAGCGTGATTAGCCCTTCCTCGACGCACCTCAAGGCTGCTACTGCAGTCATGAGCTTTGTCATTGATGCGATTCCGCATATCGTATCGAGTTGGAAAGAGCGTGTCGAGCCTTCCGCAAGTGACTGAACACCTTTCGCTCCAGAGTACAGGACGTTACCTGCTCTATCGTTAGATGGCTGTTGCTTTGTGCCGAGGATGATTACGGACCGTTCCTGTCGCCTGCAAGAAGAGCGTATCCAGGAAGAATCTTGTCTGCAACCGCCTTTTCGTATGCCTTTTCGAAGTCTGTCATGATGACGATGGCTTCACTTTCGGACCACCAGTTATCAACATGAGCAATGATTTCGAAGTCATCTTTATACCTACGACATATGTTGCGGATAATCAAGGCGTTGGCAAGGCGTATTGCAAACCGTAGGATTGCTGACTGCATGGTCAGAACCACCGCTACTCAGCCAATCATTGACGTGTTGGTCAAGAAAAAGACAACTATACTTCCATCTCTGTTAGGAGTTCGTTGCGAACCAAAAGTCTAACCCGTGCAGCGCATATACAGTACCTCCACGTGAAGTACATGCACCGACGCTGACACGCGACACAGTGGGGCTGCTTCGCGGGTACAGTACACCACCTGCACCCTCCTCAGACATCTTTACTTCGGCTTGAGCGATGCACCACGCAGCCTCTACGAATCGCTCGACGCATTGTCGCAGCGCCCCTTTGTCCGAACAACTATTCCCAGAATACGCAAAATAGGCGATTGCTACGACAATTGCCGATCACATTGGCGCGAGCATACCTGGGCAATGCGCGGGTGTCGGGAGAAGAAGGAACTGAAGGGAGGCGGCTCTGCAGTCTGCGTTAATATCGAAATGCGTGCTGGTAAAATCCAAACGCAATATAGGTTTCGAGGCTTTTTACTTCTACCATCATCGGTGGGTGTTAAATTCCTCTCCTGATCGTGATGCGTCGTAAGCTCGTTGCGCACGCCCGGAACCAAAGACAACCCCCATGACCCCCAGTGCCGCTCTTCCGTAACACCCGTGGCCCAAGCCCGTTCCAAGTCCCACAGGCGCTCGCTCCTCAATTTCCCCGAAAGTCAACCGAGTCATCGTTCGTCTAGGCGCTGAGCGTTGAAGCCACGCGACAAACACGTTCGGCATTGCCGTAGTGCAAAGCGGCACATGGCAACGCTTGCTTTTTTGGAGCCTGGAGTTGTGTTTGGATGGGGAGAGTTGATGGGCTGGCTGCCGAGTCAGGACTGAGGAGGATCGCCTCATTCGTGTGGACCCGTTTTTTCGCTTTTGCGATTCCGCGATGCTCCGCGGTACGATCATGCGGCTCCATAGGCCCCAGTCTGGGCATGCTGCTTGTGTGGTCTTGGACGCGCATGTGCAGGCGTCGCCGTACATTGGAGGGTGGGCACGAAGACCTGCTTGACTCTTCATCTGAAGAAGCGTGTTGTTGGATTTGTCTATTGGTTCTGAATGTATTATTTCGTAGTTCTCTAATGTGATGTAGCTTTCGTGACTGTTTTCGGTTTGCGCTTTTGCGGGTGGTGTACCCCTAGTCTTTCAAGGCGCTTGATCGTTGCTCGACGCTTCTGGTAACCTGTATGCCTCCGCCTTTCACAGGCAGGATGTATTCCTCACTCCCGGTACTCCCTTGCCCATGGACCATATTGACCATCTGGCCATCTTCCAGGGCAACCCACTCTTCGTCTCTTCCACTCAGACGACTCTTTATGACCGGTCGTTTCGCATAGCCTGCTGCAGGCGTGTGGGGATGTGAGCTACCGCTGCTTCCGAGTTTGAGTACGCGCTGGAGGAGGGGACGAAGTGTGGCGACGCATCCTACGATCATGCCGACGCCATTCTCGGCGTAACCCCAGAGGATCACCTTAGATACACCATCTGCAGGACTGATCAGTACGTTTGCTTGGTGAGAGCAGAAGGATATGGGAACTTACGAAGGTAGTCGGTCGCATTGGTCAGATTAACAGTGTAGACAAGACGAATGCATGCTGAAAGACTTGCTCTGTGGCGCATTAGATGGTGATCTGGTTCCCAAGAGATAAGCGAAACTTACAATGCACCGAGACCGAGAATCACGCCGACCGAAAGCTTAGCATTACGGTTCAACTGTACGTTCCAGAGCAGCGGTATGGGTAGGAGTGCGCAAAACCAATCCGTCGCAATGTTGACTGCAGTCGTCGCGTAGTATATGTCGGCCAGTGTTTGCGCTGGGTTGCACTTTCCCCCAGGGGTCGAGGTATCCCAAGCGTACGACACTGGTGCGCACTGGAAGATGATATACAGCATCGCAATCAAGTTCATGACGATGAACATGGCTGAGACAGTGTACAAGCTGTAGATGTAGGCCTTTCTCCGGGATGCGATGCGGATGAGCATGAACGAGATGCTCATCTTGATAGGGATGATCGCTGCACAGTAGAAGACCTCGAAGAAGAAGAAGAACTACATGGTTTAGCATGGAGAAATTACAGAGTAGAAATAGGTGTAAACGTACCTCCATCCCTTTGACTTTCTCTTCTGCGCTGAGCTTATCGTCGTGGACCCCGACTCCGCTGAAGGCGCCCCCAATGCATGCTATCGTCAAGCCAGTAAAGGGGACCTGTATCATCTTCGTCAGTTGAGTTGTCTTGTACGAAATTCGTAAGGTCGGCTCACAGTTGCAGCTGTCATGCTCCAGTCATCCAAGCCCCAAGCATTGTTGTGTAGTCTCGTATAGACTCGCAATCCGAAAAGAATGTAGGCAATAACTGCCAGCGCGATGACTGAAGCAGCAAGCTCAGGAGCGTTGTCGCCGTAGTAAGTCATGTTGATACCCTTACGCTGATAGCCACGGCTTCCCAGAGCGCGAAGTGGGGAGCGAAGGGATGAAGTATGCAGAAAAGATGCAAAAGAAGGACTAAGGAGGGAACATGTGGAAACACATCAGGATGCGATGCAAAGATGCATATGCTTCAGGACATTGCGAATAGTTGTGAAGCAGACCCAAGCGGAGGCAACAAGCCGACCTGGTTTCAAGAAGGGAAAGAATTGGACGCATATCAACCTGTTATCGTTGATCTTCCGGGTTTCTCGAGTATCCACATCAGTCCAACAAATAATCTGACAGCTGTGTCGAGCACAAGCCGCCAGAAAGACCCGCACGAGACAGATTTTTGTCGCATTCTGGCATAGCTTCTGGGGCGTAATCTAGGACGCTGCTAGGAAAGTACGGCGACCCTCACCCGACGTTCGTTCCCGTGTCGAGGTTAGATATGGCGTGGGTCGCCTGACGATGTGGAACCGGTGAATGTGGCACGGCTGGACCATATTGCTGGGTGCTGTTACGTGCCTGGCTCCTGAACGGCTCCTATAGATGGACCCTGAAGGATTCGAAATCTTCGCGACTGACACTCGCGTACTCGCCGTCCATGGAATGGCCCTGTTGAGCTGTAGGGGTATTGACATTCTGATACATCGCGCAGTGCAGGATAGATCCATTGGTGATCGTGCGATGTTTCTTGTCATGATACTGGGAGGTGCCGCGATGTCGGGAGTGCATCATCTGGAAAGATCGGCTCTCTCTTCTTCTTAGCTTCTGCACAGTTCTCCATGCCCGGCCAGCGTGCCGTGAGGCTGCTAGCCGCGACGGCTGATGGACTCGTTGTCGGTAGGGGGTTCGGGTAGCGCGTCGCTGGCGAACCTGCGTTAGTCGCGCCTCGCTTGCGAAATGCTCCGCAAAAGGCCCGAATCGCAGACCTTGTACCTTGAATTATCAACTCTCAACCGCTGCACGAATCCTTCGAGACGGCTGGTGATGAAGATGGGCGGATGGAGGGAGCTCATAAGGATAGGAGAGAACATGGGGAAGAGACGCGCATGGAACCATCAATTCAATCCCCGTGGACGGCTCGGCGCACTCATGCCTATCTGAGGTGAGGCGCGTGATCCCAGTTTCTCAACGAACGCGTTTTCGGGTGATGGATACACGAGAGCAAGAGTGCCGGCGTCGTATTAGCAGTGGCTCTGTATGTTATGGCATTGGCCATAGTGCCTAGGTGGAGTGTGAAAAGTCGGTGTTTCGACGTGCGACTTCTCCTTACGTACCCAATCGACGCGACTTGCCGTGACGTACATGGGTGGCGCTAACCGGATGCAGACCTGCCCTGATCCCAGATCCTGCACTGCGAAGAGCGGGCGGCTGCCGAGTCGTTCGCTCAAACCTATCCGTCTCTAGCCACGACTGGACCTAAAGTTGGGTTCGTACACGCGCTGATGCTGGATGGTTTGTTGAGATGGGGGCCATAAACGTCAGGGCGATACGCATTGTGTACATCCTACATGTAGCGATTGATGAGACTAGGCTAAAATATACAAGGGGCGCCCGGAACGTCCGTCTTTGGCTGGAAGGACACCAACTTTACATCTGTTTCTAGTGACTAACTATCAACACTAGTCCTCACGACATTACTAGCATCCTCACCCACGGGCTGTAGGAACGCTCTCTGGATTCAGCTAAGCAAGATGCTCTGCGATGATGCGATGCCGCTGCTTTGGCACGAGCTGTGAATTCATAGCCTGACAAGAACAACACGGCATGATTCGGTTTATGAGCGATTCTTCGCATAGTAATTCTTCAAATAACCCAAATATTCATGTCGGTCTGAATTTGGTTGCAGTGACCATCTCATTCCGCCTCCAGCGTCATAGGCGCTCTTTCCCACGATGTTGGCGAATGGGGAACGGCCATGAGCATAGCCTCGTATCTGCCACATCACACCCCCCTCATCTATTGCTGCCTACGAATACATCTCGTCATTCATGAATGGTATTTTCCCAATAAACGAGCTCCAATGCGTCCTCTTTTACTATCGAGCATCTTTGTGAAGTTATTGAAACAAGTTCACCCACAACACCCGATCGAACCTCGGTGTCAGCCTCGACTTAATCTCAGCCTCACTGTCAACAGCTTCCTCCAACAACGTCGCTCGGCAATGCTCAACATCGAATCACTATCCGCAAGCCGATCATACTATCCGACTTTTCAACATTCCCCCCTCGATTACAATCAGCCAGCGATACGCGTCTTGAGGATAAGACCGGATTTGTCGAAAGAAGGCTACCTACAATGTGGCTTGACCTCTGCTACCACTAAGGACGATTATACCTGTCTGTCTTACACCTGGGGTAGAGAGGATGCAGTGTGCCCGATCTTGTTGAACTGGAGACTCTTCTTAGTTCGGCGGAACTTGATGAACTTCCTAGAAGTTGCCCGAAAGAAGTACCCGGGTCAAGCCCTCTGGATAGACGCCATATGTATCGACCAGCATAGCGTGATCGAACGCAATCACCAAGTGGCCCAAATGGGTGCAATATACACTGCTGCAAAACGCGTCATCATCTGGTTAGGTGACAGTAGACCCATCGCCCGATTCTTTGAGGTCTGGAGGCAATGTAATATGATCAAGAGCACCTCTAATTGGTGGATTGAGGTCGCAAAGTCACTGGAAGAAGTGGAATTCGGTTGGCATATACTCACGCAACACGGATATTGGACAAGGGCGTGGATCACACAAGAGATTGCTCGGGCAAAGAGTCTCGTTGTCTTGGCCATGGATGTGGAGCTGGATCGTTCCCTGCTCAAATATATTGGCAAGATCCCATGGTATACACACGACGGCCTAGACTCTAGGTTTACACGCCACATTGACCTCGCGCGCGGTCGTCGACTACTTCATGACAGATCACTGTTCTCCATTCTGCGGGAGTTACCGAATCAGTATTGCCAGATTCGCCGCGATCGCATATACTCTTTGCTGGCGCTTGCATCGGAGGGTGCCAACATACCTGTCGACTATGAGAAAACACACTCGGATATCAGCATTGATATCATGCGAGCATGTAGCGAAACGGCCTGTATATGCTCTTTTAGGCTGATCCAAAGAGTACTCGAGATTCCAGATACGCACGACGATCTAGAAGTAGAGCCGCTAGGGTACCTCGCTGAAGTCACTATGCATGCCTGTCAGCTAGTACATAATCCAGAGGTTGATTATGTTGATAGTAATTCAGAGGCCATATATCGCAACACACCACGATGGGTATGCAAATACTGCGGATGGAGAACACGCATGAGAAGGTCCAAAGGTGAAGTGTTCCGGCTGCATAAGATCTGCCATAGACTGCCTTTTGGTCTTTGCTTAGAGACAACATGGGACTCCGGGTCCTTACAACGGCATGCTCTGGGTAGACTTACCCTCGAGAAAACTCTTGCATTAGAATTAGCTAAGAGCTCTAGCTGGTTTAGCATAGAGATAGATGCCAAGCTCATTGGGGACGAGGTCCGGTGCACCATCCGGTTTGCCATGTCCATACTTCTGTTTAGCTGGCTGGATACATTACATGATGCCGACGAGGAGCTGACTGTGTGGAACGAAGTGGGCACCACTGGTGTGGGTCAAGACGGCTGTCCTGGGGCTCTACGGATCAAACGTGGCTGGTTGCAAGAGTCCAAGTATCCGCATATATCGATGAATCAAGATCCAAGAGAAAGCATACCGAGCAAGGTGGCAAACGCACAACCCGTTGGGAGGAGGAAATGGTTACGCCGCTCTCCTCTGAGAACTTGGCCTCGGTATGTATTTGGGATTACACGAACCTCTCAAATTTCTGTATCTACAGGGCAGATCTAGCGCTCGGTAGTAGTATTGTGTCAGATACTCTATGATACTTACATTCGCACATCCCTCATCTAAGAGAGATCTAGCAACGTGAGGAGTTCCTTCGATCATCTTGGACGTATGAACTTGACACAGCCGTATGCGAATAGTGCCTGAGAGCAGCAAGATGGCGCACATACATTGAGATTCACAACGATCGATTTTCGTGTGGCCAGAAAAGCTGCATCACACGACATGAAAGGCTGGCGTAGTAGGCGTCAAGCAACATTCTTCTCCACTACTTGCTCGCAGCCTGATCCATATTCCCGAAACAGAGCCGGTACTGGAAAAGAAAACAACAGAGAATTTTTGGGCGTTACAACTCATACAGAGGTACGGTTTTTATCCGCCCTGATCTCCTTCTGATGCTAAGTGAAGGACCAACCACTGTTACTCTATCATACCTAGGTACCATTGCTGTACTTAGCGACAGGACCGGTCAACAGTAGCTGTAAATCAACGCGATTATGCACAGATTCTGAGTGCGGGAAAAGCAATGCGTCGAACATCTCGCGCACCTATCAAGCTAGGATTAGCATAAGTAAGTACGACGCGTACTTGGCGTGAGCGAACTGATGGGGTAGCAGTCGATGGAGCGCGTGTTCATGCGATACAACGGAAACATGCCTACCGACATCAGCGCTCTCAATTCCTGACGCGCAAGACGTGGTGGACGGTGTGATGAAGGTTTCAGAGAGTTGTGCAAGGAGTGATGGAGGAAGTTTGGGTGAAAACAAGCCTCGCACAGTCAGATCAGGTCGCACATGTCAAGGCGTCGGTGCCCAATCGGGCGGGCGTCATGCGC